ATGCTGACTTCCCCAGATCACTAAGGATCGACCTTCCCAGTAACAGAAGTTAGACTGAACTGCCTGTAGTTTCCCGGGTCATTCTTCTTCCCTTTATTAAAGATTGGGATAACATTCGCTCTTCTCCAATCTTGTGGCACCTCCCCAGTCCTCCAGGAGGCCTTGAAGATGATGGACAGAGGCTCTGCAAGTTTATTAGACAGTTCTTTGAGCACTCTTGGATGCACACCATCTGGCCCGGGGGATTTGTATTCATCCAGTGCAGCCAGGTGCCTCTCCACAACCTCCCTGTCAATGTCATCTGGACACTTGGGTGTCCTGTCATGTCCTCTACCCTCTCTAGATGGGCTCAAGTTCTTCAGGGAGAAAACAGTGGCAAAAAAGTCATTGAATCTGTCTGCTTTTTCTCTGTCCTCCACCAGAGTTTCTCCTTCTATTCCCAAAAGCAATCCAATTGCCTCTTTTACCTTGCATTTGCTTCTCACATATCTGTAGAAGTTTTTCTTACTGTAGCGAGCCCCCCTGGCCAGACCCAACTCATACTGAGCTTTGGTTTCCCTGATGGCTGATCTGCAGTACCAAGTAACTCTCATATACTCTCTTTAGAGGTCTGACCTTCCCTCCATTTCCTTTTTCTCCCTTAGCTTATTCTGGAGCTCTCAGTTCAACCATTGGAGCCCTTACCATGTTTCTGTCTTGCTGGAATAGTGAGGGCTTGAGTTTGCAAAAGCTCATGTTTGAGAAGAGCCCACCCTTCACTTGCTCCATGCCCTTCCAGCACACTCCCCCATGGAATGACTCTCATCAAGCCTCTGAGTTTGTTGAAAAACTATACTAGGAATAAGGCCCGTTGTGGAAATAAATACAATAAGCTCTAGAAAGAGGCTCTGGGCAGTTGCCCTAGCCTTGGGCACTCAGTGTCAATTTTGCTGTGGTAACCTCAGCAGGGTATAATGACAGAGAGCCCACCATTTTCTCCAGGGAAACTGATGTCTGCCATCTGAACAGCAGCTGTAATTTTGAGTGATCTTCAGCCCTCACCCAGATATTGGCAACAATAGTTCCCCAGGAGGAAATGGCTGGTTTGGATGGTGGAGTCTATGGCATTGTACCTGTCTGAGGTCCCACTCCTCCTCAAACCCCACCCTCTCCAAGTTCCACCCCTCAATCTCCAGGAATTTTCCAACCTGGAGTTGGCAACCCAATCTCTTTCCCAGCCAACCACCAATGTACTGTTAACTGCCCCTCTGACTTCAGCTTTCCATCTCTCCCCCCCACAGCCTCTACCTAGGAAAAATACAGTCTTTCTCTGCAGTGGAAACCCAAGCAGGAGGGAAGCAACCTCAGCAGGATATAATGACCCAGCATCCACCCTGCAGAGCAGCCATTTTCTCCAGGGGAATTGATCTCTGCCATCTGGAGAGCAGTTTTAATCCTCAGTGATCTCCAGCCCTCACCTGGACATTGGCAGCAATGGTTCCCCAGGAGAAAATAACTGCTTTGGTGGGTTGACTCTATGGCATTCTATTCAGCTGAGGCCTCTCCCTCCCCAAACTCTGCCTTCCATACTCTCCACCACAAAATCTCCAGGAATTTCCCAACCTGGAGCTGGCAACCCTAGTCAGGACTGGCCCCAATGAGTTCCCCACAAAGGCCAAAGTAGGCCTGGAATGGACATCCTGCCTTCGCCTTTTTACTGACAGAACCAAGCTTGGTTGCCTAGCAACAGCCACTGAGGGAAAAGATAACCGCACAGCAGGAGGAGAAGAGAATGGTTTGATGGCCGGTGGCCCACTTCAGTAGCCAGCCAGTCATGGAGGGGCCAAGCAGGAAAAGCATCTTTGTTGGAAAAGACAAAGTTTATTCTGGCAGTTTATTCTGACAGGAAAGAGT